ATAAAAAAGCAAAATAAAATAACGAAATAGGCTGGAAAAGGCAAAATAAAATAGCGAAAAATGCTGGAAAAGGCAATAGGTATTGCAAAAAAGGCAAAAAAAGGCAAAACAAAATAGCGAAAAAGGCAGGAAAAGGCACTAGGTATTGCAAAAAAAGCAAAATAAGGCACTAAAAAAAGACAGAAAATACGAAGAACCATAAAAAAATACATTTATTTTAGAAATGTTTATATTACAAGTAAAAAGAGAAAAACTATGAACTAGTTTCATTATATGAAAAATTTGTACTTTGAATCTTTGACTATTTTATCCTTTCGAGTTTCTAACTCATAAAACTTTAATCTGTATAGTTGTAGTAACATTGAACCACAGGATGTATTTTGAAGTTTTCTGGCAGCATTTTCATTCGATTTTCACGAAGAAAAGCCTTGAATGTACTAAATGTACGCTCGCCGTAAGTTCATACAAGTGGAGCCCAATTTAAATATATGTAGAACGTTTGAAACGTTCATATTATCAGGAATATGGGCGTTTTCCTCGCCCTTTACAATTTTATCCACACCCGTTATTGTCTCCAAGCCTACGTTAGCTGAGAAAACGGTTTTGCATTTTTCTAACACCAATTTGGCAAGAGGTCCCTGCGCTTCTATAAACCGCATGGGCATGTGTATATTTTTTAATCGTTTTTTGTTATTTCTTGGCCTTATAACAATTATATTCAACAATTTTTATTGAGCTCGAGGGCGGTTTTCCGCTTTTCCACAATAAGTTTTCATTGAAAAACGGCCTCGAGCTCAATAAAAATTGTTGAATATAATTTATTAATCTTAAAAAAAAGATGGTAATGCTATAATCACTTTTCTAAAGGTAGAAATGTCAAAAAATATCAAATATCTTAAAAAAGGCAAATATCTTAAAAAAGGCAAAAAAGGCAAATATCTAAAAAAGGCAAAAAAAGGCAACATCAAATGTGTATATATGTAATCAGGGAAAGCTAAATCGCGGACATTCTTAATCGAATATACTCTGTCTCTTTAGCAGAAAAAAGGCAATTTCCATAAAATCCGTTCCCTGGTAATAAGTATTGTTAAATAGCCAATACCCGCATGTTTGCGGCGCCTTCAAACACCTTTCGAACTGTAAAACAATGACTCGATTCGATTGAAGATTTTTTGGAATTGATCGGTTCTGGTCCACCTATCAGAAAAAATATCATATATGTTAACCCAGCCAATAAGCTACCTACGTGCTAAATTGCAAACAAATCGGACCATTAATAAGACTGTTTCGAATAGTTCGGTCTCTGACCAACTTAACGGAAAAAAATGAATCCTATATGCTAATATAGGCAAAAGGCTACCAACGAACCAATTGCATTTTTTTAAGCATAGCTCGACCCCTGCGCCAACTATCGGAAAAATTAAAACCTTGTGCACTCCTTCTTCTAAACACGTTTCCAAAAAAGCAGCACCCATTCGAATCAGTTATGAAACATAGGAGAAAATCAAAGCCTAAGTGGAAGGTTCTACCACCCTTTGTTTCTTTGCTAGAGCTTCTCAAATATTGCAAAAAACTCGACTTTTTGACAATTTGACCTCGTTTTTTCTTAAAATATGGAGCTGATGGAAACTTTTTGCTTACGGATTCGTAATCAGCACAGAAAAATCTATCAAAAATAGCGTTAACATTTGCTGCATCAAATTTTTTTCCATTTTCGTTGGCCTGTGTAATAAGTATTGTTAAATAGCCAATACCCGCATGCTTTCGGCGCCTTCAAACACCTTTCGAACTGTAAAACAATGACCACCTGGTCCTGGTCCACCTATCAGAAAAAATATTATATATGTTAACCCAGCCAATAAGCTGCCTACGTGCTAAATTGCAAGCAAATCGGACCATTAATAAGACTGTTTCGAATAGTTCGGTCTCTGACCCACTTAACGGAAAAAATTAATCCTATATGCTAATCTAGGCAAAAGGCTACCAACGGAGCTATTGCATATTTTTAAGCATAGCTCGACCCCTGCGCCAACTATCGGAAAAATTAAAACTTTGTGCACTCCTTCTTCTAAACACGTTTCCAAAAAAGCAGCACCCATTCGAATCAGTTATGAAACAAGGAGAAAATTGTTCCCAATTGATTCAAGCTCCCAATGAATTTCACAATTATCCGAAATTTTCCAAGCTTCAAAATTCAAATTTTTTGCGTTCTTCCGGATTTTTCCGAGTTTTCCACTTAGAATTTTCTATTTTTCCATTCGAATGCCATTCCGAAGGAATTGCACACAAAATTCCATACAAAAAAATCAATTTTAGATTTTTCCAATTTTCCGACTTTCCCGGAGGGGTTTCCCACAATTTTCTTTCGTAAAAACCTTCTCCTGGCAATTACGAACAACTAAAAAAAAAATTTAAGCCAAATCGGTCCAACCGTTCTCAATTCATCAATTAAAAATTTTGGGAAAACCCTCCGGTGGACCAGGGACCGATCTATTCGAAAAAATCGTATTTATGGTCCGATTTGCTTAAAATTTGGTACGTAGGTAGCTTTTTGCCTATGTTAGCATATATGATCCTTTTTTCCGGGAAGTGGACCAGGGACTGATCTATTCGAAAAAATCGTATTTATGGTCCGATTTGCTTAAAATTTGGTACCTAGGTACCTTTTTGCCTAGATTAGCACATATGATGCTTTTTTCCGGCAAGTGGACCAGGGACCGATCTATTCGAAAATCGTATTTATCGTCCGATTTGCTTAAAACTTGGTGCGTAGGTAGATTTTTGCAAAGATTAGCATATAGGATATTTTTTACCGGGAAGTGGACCAGGGACCGATCTATTCGAAAAAATCGTATTTATCCTCCGATTTGCTTAAAACTTGGTGTGTGGGTAGGTTTTTGCCCAGATTGGCATATTGGATATTTTTTTCCGGGAAGTGGACCAGGGACCGATATATTCGCAAAAATCATAGTTATGGTCCGATTTGCTTAAAATTTGGTACGTGGTTAGCTTTTTGCCTAGATTAGCACATAGGATGCTTTTTTTCCGGCAAGTGGACCAGGGACCGATCTATTCGAAAAAATCGTAGTTATTTCGTAGATCGTAGATTTGCTTAAAATTTGGTACGTAGTTAGCTTTTTGCCTAGATTAGCATATAAGATTCTGTTTTTCCGGGTAGTTTCACTTCTTCTTCTTATCCGCCATGGTAGCTATCTGACAGAAAACGTGTTTCGTATTTTTTGTTGTACCAACTTTTTCAAAAAAAAGTTCAGCTTTTGACGTTG